GCCGTCTACCTGCTGCACCCCGTCGTCCAGGGCATCACGATGTGGAGCACGCGTTCAACAACAATTGCTATCGACGTCGTCACCGTAAGTGCCCTCCCCCCCCCATTGTATGGAACAGCTGTTCATAAACAATGTACTTTTCACTTAAAAACCAACTTTTATGTCTAAGTCTTATTGTCCAGATCCAATAATCATCATACTGGCGTACGTCCTCAAACCATCATAATGCCTAAAAGAAACTTATAGACCTTAAACTTTTTACTGAACATTTTAAATCCTTTCAAATATTTTATTATTTTTTGTTGACAAAAAAGTTTTGTTAGAGCAGTTATGAAAAAAAGAACTCAAAACAGAGGAGGAGAGAAAAGCCGTGGGCTATGGTCAAAAATAACAATAAAGATTCTACTTGTCTTCGCACAGTACACATGTCGACAATACTTGATTATTTGAAATTACAAGCACTGCATGGTGATGACTGAAACGCGTCATAATATAAAAAGATCAGTTGTGTGAAATGAACAACTTTCGTAAAAATATCCATGTTTCGCGCACTACTACTATTTCTTCCGAGTGAGTACTTAATTTTCCGTTAGATCCCGCTGATTGTGGCTGATGTGGTGCTGACGATCGCTCTGGCGCTGCCGGTCTCCATCCTCATCGAAGCCCCGTTCGTCGCCTTGGAGAGGCTGCTGTTGCGAGGGGGCAAAGCCCCCCGCCAAGGCTCCCCGTCAGCGCCCAGTGCCGGCGCCTCCCTGTCCTCCCCCGACCCCGAGGGCCACGTGCAGGGGCCGGAGCAGCGCAACGACTCAGACACCTCTTCGCTCAACACTTTCACAAGGTAACGTATTTCTAGAACCATAAGGAAATAGAAATGCTTAAAATTGCATGGAAACTGCCGGTCATGCTAATGGTTCTGGAGCAGCACATATTACCTCTCATTAATTATAACTCATACACTTTTCGAAAAATTCAGAGCTCAGCGTCGATGATATTGGCACCATTCTTTAAAAAGTCCCATGATCTATCCCCTAGAAAAACTAGTGTTGATAAAATAACATATATTTGTCGCCTTTAGTAATGGTTATGTAATATATTATACCTTAAATTCCCCATATATCAACGTATCTCAGCCTTTTGGCGATGGCAAGAATGCGCCCATGAGGCAATAGCAGCTGCAAACTATGAAATCATATAGTGTTATAATTTCCTGCTAAAAGCGCCATTCCTGGCCTAAATGGAACTGTATTCCAGTTTTAATTGTTGTGGATTTACAAGACGTTCTTTTTGGAGTACTTTTGCCTATATTTTGAAAACATTAATTATTTTTCAAAGTGTCCATTAGTGTATTCTATGATGATTCTTAAATTTTACATTTTCTTTTAAACGAAACCTTAAAACCAAACAAAACCAGTCTCTTCATTATTAATATCTTCAAACAGAATGTAAACATTAATAGATGGCCTGCAAAGCAATAAATCAGGACTTCTTTAATAAGACTAGTGCGGTAACAAGGTATGTAATGCAGACGGCAGCATTCCTCCCAATGTTTGTAAATATTAATATCTCGATGTTGAACGAGGATGATCTCAACATGTTATTACTCAAAATGGATGTTTGGATGTGAATTGATGTAGAAGAATGAATTAGTGGATGAGTGCAAATGGAAGAATTGTTTTGAATGGATGAATAATTGAATGGATAAATGTCGATATATAGATGGGAATGATAAGAATAACTGGATTAGATTGAAAGTTTTTGAGCTCTTGCTTGATACCCATTTCAGATATAATTTACGTTAGTGGCTTACCAGAGGTCTTTGAGATAGTTTAATTTTGGGAAAAGGGCGGGATACACAGTCAAAAAGTTTTTAGGAATTCTTACTAAAAAGTGTAATCTTTTTAAATTTTTTTGAGCAAGAACACAATACACTACAGTTAAAGTCTAATTTTTATTAATCCACTTGCGGTTTTAAAGTATAAAAGCTTTCATCTTATTGCATCCTGTCCTTCTCCGTTATTGTTGAAGCTGATAATTTTCTATAATTACTTTAACATGGTTTAATTAAACACGACACCGAATTTTACTTTTTCGGTATTTATTTTTTGCCTAGAAACTTTTTGCCTAAATTAATTTATATTGCCTTATTCACTTTTACAGCTATTCTTCGAAAGAAAAGAGCTTGTAGCACGTTTACACTCTACGTGACGCCCTCGAGCAGTGATGTCACCTC